ATATCTGGTGCCTGGACTTTGAAATCTCCTGATAATCTGTAAAAAATACCAGTGCCAGGAGCCTTAAAAAAATCCCACCTTCAGAGATTCAGGTCTCATTAGTCTGGAGTAAGACAGAGACACCTACCCCCATACACACATACACGTATACATACACACAGGCACACACACTTTTGTTTAAATTCACCTGGGGATTCTAATGTGCAGACTGGGTTCAGGATCACTGAGCTGCAGTTAGTAACACTTTTTGTTGTTACTGTATCTAGTTTTCTGGTTGTTTTTTATCTATAACAAATGACTTCTTAAAGTGACACAATGTTTCCTATTTAAACACAGCAGTGTGAGCAAAGGGAGTAGATTTAAAGAAAGACATAAAGTAAATAGTAATTTCAGCACTTGGCAAAATGCATGATACACGTTATCTCAATGTTACAAGCAATGAAATTGACATACAGAGAGACTATAAGTGGTGGCCCAAGTCCCACAGCTAGAAAGTAACATTTTGAATTTAGGAGGGAGTCTGGTTTGCGCCCCGCCCCCTGCCCCCGCCAGTGGCTGAAGTGCTACTACATTAGGTCGCTATCGCCCCCTAGTGGTCCAGTTTATTTGCACCCACGCGGAGGGCTTAGCATTTATTCCCCCCTACCTTTCACCTTGTAGATGGTTCAGCCCATCAAAATTTGGGGGGAATCTTTTTTCTGATCTGGAGCATGTTCCCTGTACCTGCCAGTTTCTTGCCGGCCACAAATGCACACACAACCATACATAGCAATACTGAATATGACCAAACTGGAGCAGAGCCCAGTGGCCAGTTGGAGTCCCACCCTAGATTAACTTCAACGCGGAGCAGATCTTGAATGTCACATTGAAGCATTTTACCCTTATCCCATAGGCAATAGGGAACCATGAATGGTCTGGGAGCCGACCAAAAATATGTGCAACAAAGCATTTCCCCCAGAAGAGGGCAGCACACCGGACATTTGCCGTTTCTCTGTGAAACAATCCCTGATCCTGGTAGTCCTCCCAGGGCCAATATGAGCCTGTAAGTCCCTTTTGTATGAATTTTAAAATGGCAGCCCTTCCGGGAGAATGACAACTCATGACAGGGCACAAGACTTGAAGGAGGACTTCAACTCCCAACCCCCACTTGTCCCCCACCCCTCTCAGACCCCAGTTGGAGTGGGGCTCCCCACTGGCAAAAGGAAGCATAGGTCCAAACCTGGCTGATCAAAGGATTGCATCTCTCTGGCTACTGGAATTGGTTTAGTGGGGTGGGGCATGACCTAAGACCAGCTGAGAGACTCTGGGAACTTTATTAAATTTTAGTGGTGCAGGAATTCACATAACATAAAATTAACCATTAACCCTATTAAAATGTACAATTCAGTGGCATTTAGAACATTCACAATGTTGTGTAACCACTACCTCTATCTAGTTCCAAGACATAAGAAAAGGAAACTTGTCCCTATTAGCTGTCACTCCCCATTCCCTCCTCTCAGCCCCTGGAACCCACAAATCCACTTTCTGTCTCCGTGGATTTGCCTGTTCTGGATGTTTCATAGAAATGAAATCACATGCTATGTGACCTTTTGTGTCTGGCTCTCTCACTGAGCATCGTGTATTCAGGGTTCATCCACATGGTAGCACGAGTCTGTGCTTCACTCCTTTTTATAGCAGAATAATATTGCATTGTATGGATACACCACATTTAACAGTTCATCCACTGATAGACATTTATATGGTTTCCACCTTTTGACTCTTATCAATGGTGCTTCTAGGAACATTTCTGTACAAGTATTTGTTAGAATACATATTTTCAATTCTTTTGGGTATATCCCTAGGAGCGGAATTGCCAGGTCATATGGTAGTTCTGTGCTTAACTTCTGAGGGATGGCCAAACTGTTTCCAACAGTGCTTTCACCAATTTACATTTCTATCAGCAATGTTCAAGGGTTCCAACTTCTCCACATTCTCTCCTATATTTATTTTTCTGTTTTTTTTTTTTCTTATGACCAACTTCATAGATATGAAATGGTATCTCATGGCTTTGATTTACATTTCCCTACTGACTAATGACATTGAGCATGTGCGCTTGGAGCTTTGGTATATCCTTTTTTTAAAAGATTTTATTTATTGGGGCGCCTGGGTGGCTCAGTCGTTAAGCGTCTGCCTTCGGCTCAGGTCATGATCCCAGGGTCCTGGGATCGAGCCCCATATCGGGCTCCCTGCTCCGCGGGAAGCCTGCTTCTCTCTCTCCCACTCCCCCTGCTTGTGTTCTCTCTCTCGCTGTGTCTCTCTCTGTCAAATAAATAAATAAAATCTTTAAAAAAAAAAGATTTTATTTATTTATTTGAGAGAGAGAGAGCATGAGCAGGGGGGTAGAGGCAGACTCCCCGCTGAGCAGGGAGCCTGGGACTTGATCCCAGGACTCTGGGATCATGACCTGAGCCGAAGGCAGCCACTTAACCGACTGATCTACCCAGGTGCCTCTGGTATATACTTTTCAACTTGGAAGGATGTAAAGCCTAGCACTGCTGGCTGCTGCCTCCCACCCATGAAGTAGACCAGAGGGATGGAGGGAGACTGCCCCTGGTGACATCACTTGAAGCCTGAATCCAGCCATATCTGCATATCTTTAACTTCAAAAGTATATATGCTGGTTGTTCTTTTGTCATTTCAGCCAGCTGGAACTGAACATTTTATCCTTTGCCACAAAGAGTCCTGATGGTGACTGGGACTTGCCAAGATCACATGGCTAGTTCCAATTAGACAAGACAAGTATCCAGACCTCCTACCCACCTGTTGCCTCCATACCCAGGAGGCTAAGAGGAGGCTGTGAGGATGGGTCAGCAGGGGCCAGGAGATAGGCACTGGGGACAAATTATTGCTATGTATTTAAGGACAGCATGGGTGGGGTGGGAGGGGGTACAAGAGGCAGATGCTTCTCTATCTGCCCTTATCCCCACCAGAAGGTTTGAACTGAGGTTCTTCACTTTCAGGGTGCCAAATGCCCCCTTAGAGAATCTGTTGGAAGTACAGCTCCTCTCCCCCCTCAAAAACACCAAGACAACATTTTGCAAGCAATTTTATAAGTTTGCAGAAACTCCCTTCCTCTCTGCTCACCCCCTTCCCAGCACGATCCATCTTGGGGCCAGAGGTGAAGAACCTCCAGTTTCCAGAACAAGAAATTCAAAGGGATTGGAAGCAGTGGCCCTGTGACCCAGATTCGATCCTACTGCTGACTAACTGTGGTGCAAGGAACTTTGGGGGAAGAACAGACCTGGTTTGAGTCCAGGCTGTGTGTTTCTGGGTAAGTTGCTTGCCCTCTCTGAGCCACTTCTATAGAATGAGAATGTTCATGTCTATCTGAAGGGTTGTGGGAGGGATATTAGGTTCAATTATGTGTGTCATGGGCATATAGCCCATGGTAGTCTCAATAAATATGAGCGGCCCTTCCTCTTTCAATTTCTCCATCTCTCCAACAGGCCAGATGGGCTAGTCTCTACTCCTTTTGGAGTGACACACTCCAGGGGCCTTGATAACATGCCCAGACAATCCTCTTTAGCAAAGAATGTCAAGTGGTCCATGGATACTAAACCTATTCCAGACCCCCAGATTACAAATCTCTTACTGTACACTCTCCCTCATTTACTAAGCTCCAGCAAGAGTGTTCTTTCTGATCGTTGAACACTACATCAAAAACTAATGATGTACACTATATGTTGGCTAACTGAACATTAAAAAGAAAGAAGAGTGTTCTTTTTGTCATGCCAGTTCATCCACACCCTGTGAGTTTCACACCTGCCATTCCCTCTCCCCAGAATGGTCTTGCCCAGCCAGCTCTCAGTAGGGCTGGTCTCCTCTTGTCATTGAGGGTTCATCTGGAAACTGTGCTCCCCCACTGAGCACCCATTTGAAAGGGCTGCTTCCCCACCTCATGATTCTCTAAAGCATCACCCGCTTTATCATTTTTGCAGCAGGTATTAGTGTCTGGAAATGCCTTGTTTGTCTTTTTATTTGTCTAACACTTGTCTCCTCCCTAGAGCGGGGACATTGCATGTCTGTTGCCTTGTATCACCAGTGGGTAGTGTCAGACATAGAGTAGGAACTCAATATATATTTGTTGAAGAGATGAATGAATGAATGAGTGGGAACACAGATGAATGAAAGGATGATTAAATTATTTGGGTGGGTAAATGAACATAAATGGATGGCTGAATATAGATGGAGGGAGGGATTAAAGGATGAGGGGATGGAGGGATGGATGTTTTCCAGACTCCATGCTAAACACTTTTTGTACATTATCTTGTTTTATCCATGCAGAAGTCCCATGAAGGCAGAAACATTGTCATATTACAGACAAGGTGCTTGAGCTTCAAAGGTAGAAAAAATCACCTCCCCCAGATTATACAACTAGGAAATGGTGGAGCAGGATTCAAGCTTAGGTCTGCCTGACTCCAAGCCCTGTGCTCTTAACCACCACAGAAATCACCTTCCTGTTCTCCTCTCACTTTGAGAGCCCATGCAGGCCACCCCAGCTCCCCTCCTGATGCCCATGCCCCAACAACAGCCAGATTGCCCAGTCTGGGCCTCCATGTTGCTCCATTGTCTAGCAGTGAGATGGCCCCAGAGGTCTGTGGGAGCACATGTGTGAGAGGACCTGCAAGGTCTCTGCATGCATGAGTGAGGGCAGAATGAGGTGACTGGAAATCATGTCTGTTCTCTGGGATGCCCCCAAGTACCAGGGACATTGCATGGCCAAAGACAGGTCCAAAGGGTGTGGTAGTGACCGCCACTATTTATGAGATGCCCGGGCACCAAGCCCCAGCCTGAAGTCATTCCCAGTGGCTGCCAGGTAATCCCAGCACCTGGTGATCCAGCCTCACAAAGTGAACGCAAAGGAGGAAATGAAAGAGAATAAGGGCAGATCATGGAGGAGAGCTATGCCAGGCAGCTCCCCCCCACCCCTCCCCAGTCATCAGACTGCTGTGCAGAAGGCTCATGAAGTCCATCCCCTGTCTTGGGGTGGGGCCGTGCAGGACAAGAAGGACGGAGAAAGGGAGGTAGAGGAAAGAACCATGAGCATCTCTCAGACTCCTGATCCAGGCCTCCCTCTTCAAGACACAGGTGAGTTGGCAGGTGCTCAGGTAGTCCAGAAGCTGGCAGACATCAGCAGCTCTTGTCGTCACTGACTTCCACGTAGGGCAGCCCCACAGGCCAAGTGTCCCGAGGCCAGTAGCGGACTTTGAGGGTTTGACCTGGCATCTCATACCTGGCGTCCACTAAGGCCATGGTAACCATGCCATAAGGAAAGGTGATGCTAATGAGTACATGCCTGTGGGGGGCAGGAAGAAGGTGGTGAGGGCACAAGATGCCAAGATGCCCCAGAGCTAGATGGATGCCCCCACTTTGGTTCTCTCCTTACATCTCATTGATCCTGACCATTCAAAGGGACATTCTGGATCAGACCCTTGATTGCAACCAACCCCTACCCACACACACACACACACACACACACCGATATCTGTGCCTCCCCTCTCTGCCCCCAGGCTCCTGCTCCAAACTCTGGCATCTCAGATTTTCTGGATCTGGCGCCCCATACCACAGGGCAGGTGCTTACCAGATGCTGTGCAGGTAAGAGAAATTGATCTGCTGCCAGAAACTGCAAAGCAAGCGGTCGCTGATCCAGCTGGTCAGTGCAAAAGCCCATAAAACTACGGAGACCTCCATTATATGCCGAAGCTCCTTATTGCTGGTCCTAGGGAGAGAAGGAGGAAGATTAGAGCCAGACTCGGAGAGCAGAGCCTGAAGGGGCTGATGGGAAATTCCTCCATCCAAGGAGATGAGGCTGGGAGGAGAGAACGACCAAGAGTAGCAGAGGGAGGGGGCCTAATTTGTGATGATTGCTAACATTTGCTGAGCACTGATAGGACGCCAGTTACAGTTCTAAAAGTTCTTCAGATAAAAACTCAGTCCTCAAAACAATGCTATTATTCTCATTTTGTAGATGAGAAAACAGGCATGTGAGATTAAGTTCTGCTCCAACCCCACCCAAGGTTACACAGATAGTAAGTGACAGAGCTGGGGTCTGAACCAGGTTTGTCAGGCTGCAGATTTCTTAACCAACAAGCCCTCCCCTGTTTGTCTGGGGGGGGGGGCTGTAAGTGTGTGCACACTTGTGAGTCAGTGTGTGAGAATTCATGTCTGTGTGGCTATGGGAGGGCAAATTCTCTGGAGGCCATATCTGGGGACAACTCAGGATCAGAATCTGTTTCCCCAACAGCAGAGCTGACCCAGCATCCATCAGGAAAGAGCATATCAGGGATTAATGAGGCAATAACTTCTCTATGGTTAAAAGTGCAGGCCCCGCCCCTAGTCTAAAATGGGAGAGTCTGACCACCAAAAAAGAATAATGAGTAAGGATTGATGAAATCTGAATATAGAGTCTGAGGTCTAGTTAACAGCATTGTTCTGTCGTCAATTTCCTTCTTTTAAGGTTGTACTATGGTTACACAGGATGCTCCATTGAGAGAGGCTGGGGGAAGCTGGATGAAGGATACACAAGACTCTGCACTATCTTTGCAATTTGTCATGAGTCTGTGACTACTTCAAAATGAAAAGCTAAAAATATAGCACGGCGACTGCAATGGATTGAAACATTTCTGAGATATAAACATCCATGAGTTCATAATAATACTTTTCTTAAAAATTTCATTGGTCCCTACTAGAGATGGCTAAAGCCCCAACTCATTACTCTGGAAGTAGATCAATTAAGGGAAAGAATCAATTATCCATCCTGTCACTCCTGTGCAAACTGTATTTCCAGGTTGACAAGTGAAAAGTCCTTCTTGATGGAAGAACTCCAGATAATCATTGCAGAAGGAATAATGGAATCTGCAAACCACCCTCTTGCAACCGCTAATGAATCCATGGATGGAAGCAGTGTGCTTGAATGGCTGCTGAAATTCTTAGGTGAAAAGTAAGTGGAAAACTTTATAATAAAGGGAAGAGATGACAACATCTGAATCCACTGATCAACCTTAATAGCACTAAATGTGGAGCAACCATTCATTATGGGGTCCTAATGGCATGGAACAAGAAACACCCAGCACCACACATGAAATATTCTGGCCTCAAAATACGAAAACCTAAATCTAGTTCTAACTATTAATTTGCAAGAAATTGAAAGAAAGAAAGAAAGAAAGAAAGGAAGAAAGAAAGAAAGAAAGAAAGAAAGACAATGGAAGACACCACAGGAAGTAGACAGCCAAATCCAGAATGTTCTACAGGACAAATGATGGAGTTTCTGTTATCAAATCAGAGGCATGAAGATAGGGGAGGGAGGGAGAGAATGCTATGACACAAAGAAAACCTAAGAGACTATGTTTGCATTCCAATTTCAATAAGACTAGTTGGAAGAAGACATCTTGAGAAACTGAGGCAATAGGTGCAATCTGGGTATTGTCTACTTGATTAGCCCTGTGTGTGCCCTATCTTCCTTTTGTCCCTCTAGATCCTTCCCTACCCCTCTCCATTCTGCCCTATGCCCCAGGGAGGCGGGGGTTGACCTATGTGGACTGAAGCTGGGGATTCCTTTGTCCTTGGGCTTCCAGTTAGATTAGCCAATGGTTTCCAGTTGGTTTAGCCAATGGCTTCTGGTTGGGTTGGCCAATGGTTTCCAGTTGGGTTGGCGAATGAGGCACCCCAGCAAGAAACCAAAGGGTAAGAGGAGGATACGGTTGGAATATTTATTCTCCTGGCCTCCTCCATGTGGGCTCAGGCTAGCTGCAACCAGCAACTGGAGGTCACAGTTCTTGCTAAGGAGGCCCTCTCCACAGGGCTCTCTCCTTCCATACTCTTGTAATCACTCCCCCCCCTTCTCCCCCCCCACCCCAGGTCTCCTGATGGTCATAGGATCCCACTCTTATCAGCACAACGGTTCTAAATGATCCCTAGTGATTTTCCGACACCTGCTCTCTCCTTTGTAAATAACCCTTTTATTCAGCTCTCCTCAAATGGCCCCATTTCAAAAACCTCTCTCTATCCTGCCAAGACCTGGTATGGGTTAAAAAAAAATAATTATTATTTATCGGGAGAGTTCAATCCTGAAAAGTTAATGGGTGCCAGTATATGGAATCTGGGGGGAATGTATAATGCAGTTTGTCAAAATGCTGATGGTTGTTGGGACCGGTTAGTGGGCACACGGAGGTTTATCATACAACAGTCTCTGCTTGTTTGGGGTTTCAGCCTTAGATTCCAATCCTAACCCTGCTCCTTGTTAGTAGATGATATTGGGGAAGGGACATCCCTCTCTTGAGCCTGGAGTCGATGAGAACTCCATCCCTGGGACTTGGTGAGTACGTGGGGTGAGGGGCGTGCTTGGAGGGGGATGGGAGCCACCTCCCCGGGGAGGCGTTTGCAACCACCACCCACTTCTTGTATTCCTGGAACACGATGTAGAGGATGTGCACAGCAATGCTGTTGAGGGCATATGCGTTGATCACGGGCCTCAGGAAGGACAAGAAGGTGCTGACCACAGTGGTGATGATGACCAGGCTGATGAACTGGGGCCTGGGGGAAGAAAGATGCAGCTGTGGGAGGGTGGCTAGGAGGGTCCTGGGGGGTTTAGGCAGGGTCAGGAGATCAAGAGGTAGATGAGCAAAGGGAAGGGGTTTCAGGGAGCCCAACCAGACTCAGAAAAAGGTATTGAGGTTCCCAGGTGGGCTCAGCAGAGGGTCTCAAGAAGGGTCCAATGAAACATCCCGAGTGGGCCCAGGCAGGGTCTGAAGGGGTTCCCAGGGGTAGGGGTGGGTAAGATGATGAGAGGGTCTCAGGGAGGCTCAAAGGGGCTTAGTCAGTTCAGCAGAGGTTGTCAGGGCCCAGGTGAGGTCAGACAAAGGATTCAGGGGACCCGGGTAGGATTAAGGAAGGAATTACAGAGGTCCCAGGTACTATCAGGAGAGGGGTCCTAGAAGGCTCAGATAGGTCAAATAGGGTCAGGAGAGAGATTCAAAGGGGTCTCAGGTTAAGAGAAGGGCCCAGGAGGATCCCAGGAAAGTTCCAGGGGGCCCAGGTGATAGGCTCAGGGGAGAGGTCCCTGGGGCCCAGGTAAGCTTAAGTATGGGTTCCTGGGACCCCCAGGTGGCTTCAGACAGGTTCTGGAGAAGGTACCAGACTATCCAGGTGGATCAGGAGAGGAATTCTGGGGATCCCGAGTACTCTCAAAGGAGGAGTCCCTGGAAGCCAGTTAAGTCAGGTAGGGTCAGAAGAAAGTGCTGGGGTGATCAGGGGTGGGATTCCAAGGGCCTCAAGTGGGCTCAGGGAGTGGACCCAGGAGCCCAGATGGGCTATGGTGGGATCAACAAAGGACCAGCCCCCGCCCCACCTGTTCTCTCCTAGGAAAGTAGGAAAGTAGCAGCGGGGCATCCATATGCTGTAGCCACTGGCCAGCAGCCACAGGATAGCGATCTCATCCAGCAGCTGGCCCAGGAAGCTAAGCGTCATGTGGAAGTACATGGAGAACAGGCCTGGAGCAAGAGACAAAGGTAGATGGTCAAGGGGGTGGTCCCCACCCCTACCACCCCACTGTCACAGACCCCCACCTACCTACGACCATGAAGAGGATGCAGGTGATATAAACATAGCGGGAGCGTTTCTGGGCGTAGGGGTGCATGAGAAACATCATGAGAGGCCCAAAGATGAAGAAGGTGACATTGCTGAACTGGAAAAGAGGAGGACATGCGGAGGGGTTGTCAGAAGCGCAGGCAGGCGAGGGCTGCCCCTATGTCCAACCCTAAGTTATTAGCCAATTGGTCACCTGTCCCCTTTCAGGCAATTGATCAACCCCGAGTTTGTCACTCTTCCAGTTGATCTTGACAGTCAACCAGTCATCAATAGGTTCATTACTCCGTCTGTTATTCTATCGGTTCATTCATTCATTCATTCATTCAGCAAGTGTGGCAGACTATCTACTAACTTTCTACATACATCCACCCCCCCTTTTCCTTTTGGAAATAAGATCCCCCCAAGTTTTAGACACAGCTACACAACATTTTCCAGGCTTCCTTGCCACTCACTCTGCCTTCATGACCTGGTCTGACCAAGGGGATAGAAATGCAAATGAATCTATTACTTAAAAAAAAAAAAATGAGCTTCATTTATCAAGATTGGCTGTATTAGAAATTGAAACTGAGAAGTTTTCAAAACCCAGGACTACACAAGCACATATTCTCTTGGCCATCTGAGAGATGGTGTCATCACTCATCACAAAACCACTAGAAGATCCCATAGTACCCTGGTGAGATAATTAGAGTGAAAAAGGCAAACAAAATCTTTCTATTATTATGAAAATAATTTATACCTCGAGGAACCTCTGAAAGGCCTCAGAGACCCCACGGTGTCCCTGGACAGTATTTCAAGAACCACTTCTCCATGAAGAGCAGAGCCAAGTAGCTTGATAATGTTGAGCTGCCAAGTTAACATTCCAGAACCATCTACCTCTAGATTTCCATTTCAAAAAATAAAAAGGTATGATATTTTCTATTTAAGCTGTTTTTAGCGGGCTGTTTCATTTGAAACCAAAGCATCCCAGTTACTGGGCTTCTGCACCCCACTCACTGACTGTGAGGAGTAAATTCACTGCTCTAACTTACCATATCTGCATTTGTGACATATGCATAATGCCACTTGCCTCTTCATGTTGTTGACCCAAAAATCCCCCAGCCCTCCGTAGTCTATGAGTACAATTAAGGTGACAAGAACATTTGCACCAGAATTTCAAGGGTTCAGAGTCCCTGACCACTAGGACTTCAGCGCCCCCTCAGAGTTGCCCCCAGATATGTCTGGGCCACAGTTGAGTCTCTCACATGAACTCAGAAACAAGTGTTCTTACGGTCTTCTTCTACCTGCTAACTTGAGGTCAGCCGCTTGCTCACTCAATTATACCCTCTCTCCCTAATAAAATCTTCCCGTTGTAAAGGTCTCCTCCGTCACCTGCGTCCCATCTTAGAAAGTGAAGAAGTAGTGCCCTGTTAACCAGGGTGCTCCGTTATTTCTCAGAAACCTAGACTGAAGGGTGCTGACTCAAAAATAGAGAGCACAGGGAAATGCAAGTCAAAACTGCAATGAGCTATCACCTCACACCAGTCAGAACAGCTAGTATTGAAAAAAAAGAAGAAGAAATAATAAGTGTTGGGTAAGACTGTGGAGAAAAGGAAACCCTCATGCACTGTTTGTGGGAATGCAAGTGATGCAGCCACTCTGGAGGTTCCTCAAAAGATTAAAAATAGAAATACTATAGGATTCAGTAACTCTGCTGATAGGCATTTACCTCCCCCCCAAAAAACCAAAAACACTAATTTGTAAAGATATATGCACCCTTATGTTTATTGCAGCTTTATTTATAATATTTATTTATAATAGCCAAGATACGGAAGCAACCAAGTGTCCACTGATACATGAATGGCTAAAGAAGATGTGCTGTTTTATATACAATTGAATAGTACTCAGCCATCAAAGGAAGGAAATCTTGCCATTTGTGACTATATGGAGGGACCTAGAGGGTATTATGCCAACTGAAATAGGTCAGTCAGAGAAAGACAAATACCATATGATTTCCCTTATATGTGGAATCTAAAAAACAAAACAAATGAATTAACAAACAAAAAACAGAACAGACTCATAAATACAGATTACAAACTGGTTGTTGCCAGAGGGGAAGGGGTGGGGGATGGACAAAATGGGTGAAGAGGTTCAAACTTCCAGTTATAAAATCAGTAAGTCATGGGGATGAAAAGTGCAGCATAGGGAGTGTAGTCAATAATATTGTAATAACATTTTATTGTGACAGATGGTAACTACACTTATCGTGGTGAGCACTGTGTAATGTATATAATTGTCAAATCACTATGTTGCACACCTGAAACTAATATAATATTGTATGTCAACTATACTTCAATAAAAAAAAATACAGAGCACAGTGGTGGGTGTGGGGAAATCATTTACCTGATACAGGGTCACCATCTAGGACCCTAGGTCTTGGGCACCAAGACTAGTTTCCAAGGCAGGAGTCCTTCTGATTCTAGGGAAGCCCATGGCTTTCCTTGGGTGATGGTGAACCAGCTCAAAGTCTGGTTCCACAATTTGAGGATGCTTGGTAAACTGGTTTTGCAGCCCATGATCCCACCCATGTCCTTGCTTTCCGTACCAAGGTGTCTGATGCCCACCAATGGACAGTGTCAAACACATTTCTGGCACAGCCACTTGGTTCACAATGGCTACCCGAGAACATGCATGCTGTGTCTGCATCCTGAGACTCAACCCCACTGGAGTAGACACCTATCCCAAACCGGGCCAATCAGATTTTCTTGGGAATTTGAAACTTGGAGCAGACACAGAGCCTGGGAGTCCACCAAAATTGAGTCACACCATTGTCAACTCTCTAAGGTCTTGGGATATTGTCCCGATGTTTAAGATATGGCAGCCGTCTTGCCACCACAAACAGACAAGGCTGAGAACACAGGCATATACTCAAGGGTGGTATCTTCCTTGTGCTAAATCCTCCAGACCTACCTTAGACCCCAGTCCTCCCAAGCAACTCATCTCTCCGTTTTCTAAGATACCCCAGGACCTACCCGATACATTCTTCCTGTTTGGTTTGTTTTTTGATTTTTTGCTTCAGCTAGCTTTCTAATGCTTGAATCCAGTAAAACCATCACCATTGGTATATGAGCTAGGGTTCTTTGGTAGCAAGCAACAGAAAGTGAACTTATATCATAAATACAAAAAAGTGTGTTTAGTTACTTATTTAATTTATTTGTCATTCAGTCATTATGGGAGCTCATTAATCCAAAGAATTGCAGAAGACAAGGAAAACCAGAAACCGGAACAGCTCTGAGCCTCGAATGGACAGTCTCTTCAGGGAGCAACTTTGGGCATGAATGAAAAAAAAAGTTATGTTCAATTGTTATATCCAGGCTCAGGATTCAAATTCAGGAGATGCTGCCTGGGCCATAGCCCACCCTTGGCCAGAGGAGGGGAAGCACCTTGACTGACCATCCTGTTGAGAACATAACCAGTAGGAGAGGGGCAGTTGGTTGTCAAAGGGGAAATGGTGCCATGGATACCTAATGGGCAAAATCCCAAACAAATCAGAGGTTCCCTCTGCCTTCAACCAAACACCAGCCCTTGGGCGTATCAAGCATGGCTGAAGATGCTGAGCCAACCAGTTCCCCAAACTCTAAACCCTCAATTTAAAACACATCTGTGGGGCGCCTGGGTGGATCAGTTGGTTAAGCGACTGCCTTCGGCTCAGGTCATGATCCTGGAGTCCCTGGATCGAGTCCTGCATCGGGCTCCCTGCTAGGCAGGGAGTCTGCTTCTCCCTTTGACCTTCCTCCCTCTCATGCTCTCTGTCTCTCATTCTCTCTCTCAAATAAATAAATAAAATCTTTTAAAAAAAATAAAAATAAAAAAAATAAAACACGTCTGTGACTCCCATAAATAAAATCCAAACTCTTAAACCTGGCTTATAAACTCCCTCCATAACTCACCTCTCTCCACCTTCAACTTTATAATCTAGGTGGTAGGGATAATTCCATTCCTCCAAATGAGCCATACTTTCTCTCACCCCTTAACCTTCAGAAGTTGCCACATGCTGTTCCCACTGCCTGGAACACTCTTTGTCCCCACTTGCCCCTCTTTGCCAGGCCAACTACTACTCCATCTTTCCCCTGGGCATCACCTTTTGATAAAGCCTTCCCAATCCCACAAGGCAGGGTCAGGTGGTCTTCTTTGGTGCCCTGTTCCTCTATCCTAACACTTGTCTAGCTGTTCTGAAACTGTCTTGCTCTCCCACTAAACTTGGCTTTGAGAACAGGCGCTGTGTCTTCCCTGTTCTCCATTGTCACCTCAGGAACTGGGAAAGAGTAGGTGTTCAATAAATATTTCCTGTTGACTGGATCTCAAAGCAGGTTTATGTGGATCACCAGTCACACACATGAAAACACTTGGCAGAAGGGATTGTACCTGGAAAGTTCTGGGTGGAAGGTGCTATGACTGTTACTTTCTTATCTTTTGACAGTACAATTTTATAGATATTGCTTCCTCGCGCACACCCTCAAGGTCTGGTTTTCTAGTTCTTGTTTGGCGATGAAAAAACTGGATCTCAGAGAGGTAGAGTGACTTCTCTGAGGTTGCACAGCTCTGGGGGACTCCAGAGTTTGTTTTTACCCCCTGCCTTAAAAGATGAGAGGACAAGACAGGTGGCAATGATTAAGAGGGGGCTTCCCTGCTCCCTGGCTGTGTGGCCTAGTGTCTATGGGTCTCCCTTTCCTGCATCAGCAAAATGGCGGAGAATAATTAATGGCTAGTGCAGATGCTGTTGAGGGGCATGCATGAGGCCAGGCATCTAAAGACTACCTTGCCAGGGATGTGGTTTCAGCTCAACAAATAGCAAGGGTTACTGCTGCTGTTGTTGTGGGAGATAATAGCGACAGGCTGATCCTTGGTTTAGTTGCTCCAAGCTCAGAGGCCAGCAGAACCAAGACAGAAGTTTCTGATAACGCCCCTGAGTGTGCAGAATGAGGGCAAAGCAACGGGCGGAGGCTCTGACTAATGAGTTCCAACTGGCTTCAGAGTCTCTGATAGCATCAGAGACCGCCCCCTACTGGGGCCTCCCTCCCTGCCCCTGGGGCTGGGCCCCCACATTTCCCAACCGCTGGC